GTCACATCCGTTTGAGACATGCGTTTATAAACTTATGTGCAAATATGAAGCAACAAAAAAACTGATAAAAGCTGTTCTGTGGGCGGTTCTTTAAAGTGGCTATCTTAACTCGATTTCTATAATAATGGTTTCCGATTATGAATCAGCATAATAAAGTAAATTAAATTGACGCTTATAAATTAATTTTGTAAATTAAACACCACCAACAATATTACGTTAGTTGAAAACATGATTTTTTGTTTGTATAGATAATATGTTGTTTTGAAATTTATTTGATAGGTTTAGGTCTAAAACGGATAGGACAAAATAAATTATGTAAATAGGGCAATCCGTTGTAAAGTTATTAGGGAAACTGAAATATAAGTAATGCAAAATAAGTGAAATCCAGTTTCAACAGTTTCTAAAAAGACCTATTAGGCCAACACTCGTAGCTTTTCACGAAGTTTCGTTTGATTTATATATTGTTCATAAAACGTTGATATACTTCGTAACTAAGTTATTTATAGCACATCAGTATTTTTTTTATATTTATCTGCGTGTAAATAATTAACCGAATCTTCGTAAAAAAATGCCTGAATAGTTCATTATTTCATCTGTTCAGTAACAATTCATCTTTTATTTTCAGGAGGCACAGCACTATTTTTTGCAAAAGTGCACAATATGATTTACATTGCTGTCTAGAAACGGGGTTAGAAACATTTATGTTGGTTTGAGCATCCAATGTATATTTTATTTGAAATTGTGTCAAATTATTACGTTTTTTATATTTTAGCACTAAAATTGTACTTACCAGTGAAAGGAAATGTTTGCATTAGTTAGATTGTATACTTTGTTTTGCTTTTTGCAAGTGATAATAGCACAAAACGGTATTTTTTATAGAAAAAATCAGTAAAATCACCACTCGACGATTGACGAACGACTGACAAATATAAAACCGAGGAAAGGGCGTCATATGAGTAAAAGCGCATATGCCAGCGACGCTTGCCCCGCCCACTTACTACTTCTATTCTCTCTCTATGTTCTGTGGGTACCAGGCATAGAAATTGGAAAGTCAACGCTATACGTATAGGTAAGAGTATGAGCTGAAATGTAGTGTATTGGTGATATGTTATGCTATTGGTGATATATGGTATATGATATGCTCTTTGAGTCGCAAAGTATCGGTATTTTCATGAATTACAAGGGTTCCAATTATCCGCACTTAGACACATTTGTCGGTCCATTAATAAACATGGTTTACTCTAATGATGTATTTGTTTTACAGACGCAAAGTAATTTTATATGTGTCACTATTATGAATACACGAATACACTATTGCTTTTTTCCTTTTCCTCAAAGTTTTCCTGCATTAAAGCTATGGACAAATTTAAAGGTAAATAGTTTCGTAAAAACTATTATATCCTAAGATGATACAGTTGATTTTACGAAAAAAACCATTCAACAGAAAGATAAAACACAAAATACGAGATAATAGGTTATTTAACTTCCAAAAAGGATAAATTGATATCCATTTTTTTTATCTATATAAATAAAAATTAGTCCCTATTTCCCTTGGTCACATATTATTGTTGCGTTTGTTATTGTCAAGAAAAAAATAATAAAAAATTGCGTGGAAAATTTTAAAATTTAACCACCATATAAAATTATTGCTAATCTAACCTTAGTGCTTTGGATAATAAAACTTTTTTTATGTAACGTTTGACATAGAATTGACAGAGTGCGTGCTAAAAATTTCATAAATTTAACCATGAAATTTTGCTAAGCTTAGGCCAGCTTAGCTAGTATATCAATAAATACATTTATTCAGACTCGAATTTATTGTCTGTTAGTTTTAAAACTACAGAGTATGCATAATAGCATTGGATTTACTTAACATTAATGTTTACATTAAATCTTGATAAGATAACGTGTAGATTCATAAATTCTTTAACCATTAACTAAGAAAAAAAATTCATTTGGAACTTACTGATATTAAAAAACGCTGTTGTTTTTAGGTTATTTATAGAAGATAACATATTTCCTTATGATTCGTATATGAAGGGACTAAAGTATCAAAATGTAAACATATTTTTGTGAGTCGTATCAAGTTATCTTGCGTGCGGGCTTTTATCTGGAAAAGAGAAAGTTGCACCTCCTACGCCACGCGGTCATAGTTCCCTTATAACTTGCAGGTACTTTATGGTAGATACAACACAACAAAATATCTCCGCAAACGATTTTGATCTCTTTACGCAACGGATTAAAGTTCATAATCGATTAGAGAAATTTGGATGTTTTCTATGACTTCACGCTGCTCTTGGTTGGCTACCATTTTAAAGATTGCATTAATATTTAAATATGATTTGACTATTGCAAAATTGTAGTGTTGACTTATTGCCTCAAGTAGGATTACAATTTGCGTCTTTGAAGCTGATGATTGCTAGGCCATTGAGGTTTGTTTTGTTTATAATCTATGACCACATAACCTATAGACTGAATATTAATTCTAATTCTAGTCTGACAAAAAGTTATGCTATTCTTTAAGTAGGTTGTGTTTTATCGAGTTGCTATACTTGACAGCGATGAGCTCAACGTCGAATTCAAAGCTGTAAGAAATTATAAACACTTGTTTATTCTTTTAAGTAAAGTCAAATTAATAGCATTTCAAATTATAAATAACACTAAAAATACTTTTCTGAAAACCGAGTCAAAATCGTGCTAAAGTGCGAACTTCCATATTTTTAGTCAGTTAATATACCTAAAACCTTCTCCTATGTCTGACAAATATTATGCTGAAAATCGCATCAAAATCGGATTAGCCAAACGCGAGATAATCGCGCACTAACATACATACATACAGGTTAAAAAAAACATAAATATGTATTAACGATTGTAGATACAGCCGGGAACAACGACTTAACAACTTATCGAGCCTTCCGAAGCACAGAGGATACGAGATAATAAATTTCCGGTCATCCATCTCACGACTGATCAATGCGAAAGTTGCTTATTTCCACATCACAGTTTCAAAGCGCTGACACTATGCCATCAAACTTCAAAAAAGGTTACGAGTAGTTGAAATTCTACTTATACGAATGGTTTATTATTATCAATGAAAATTATTGAACAGAACTGACTGAGCATGATAAAATCCTATTACCGTGTCCCGACAAATATATCGATCCACGTCACACCTATTTTATAGTGACTAGGCTGCTATTGTAGCACTGAATTTAATGGATACAACATCTTTCATAAGCTTAGGTACTCGTTGTCAACTAGCTATAACTTTTTAGTATGTCACTGTTCAAAAATATCGATGAAAACGTTTTCACTAATAGCTTACTTACTTATATATCTATAGACTATAGAATTCATGGATTAGTTAAGAAACGTAATTCTCCTCATGATAATATAGTTCACTCCCTAAACCTATTATGGACTGAATAATGAAATAAATTTGAAACAGCTTTCTGTGAGACAGATATTTTAATATACTTAGGTTTGTTGTTACCAGATTTCTATTGTATAGGTATATAGATATTATAAAAGGAAAGATATGATTGTTTTTCTTTTTTTGCTATTCTATATTCTTATTCAAAAGACTCCAAAACTTATGGACCGATTTAAAAATTCTTTCATTTTCGAAAAGCTACATTATACGTAGTTGAGATACGGTCAGTTGCACAAAAGTCCATTAAGGTTTAAGGTCTAATGAATATTAAATTTATATGGATAATGTCGCTTTAAACTAATGACAAAAATGGACGTTTGTGCAACTGACTGGTAGAATATTTACTTGGGTAAAGTCGTAAAAAAACAGCTAGTAACGCGCGTTTACAAGTTCGTTGCTTCCTATATTTTGAAGTTCAATTTAATAATACACTAAACAAAGGCAATAATTGTTTTTTTCTGCTTTTTTCTCATTATGTTTTTCTTTTCACAATTGGAATTCCCTTTCAAAAAATTGTATACAAATAAAAAATTAAACTCCAGCTGGTCTTTCAATATATTTGAATATTTATGATATGTTTATCAAAAACATCTGTTTGAAATTATTTGATAAGAATTGTATCGTTCGATGATATAGACGATTAAGAGTTCTTATTATAATTGAGATTATTAACGCTTCATAAAGCACATTGCAATTTGAAATAAGAAATCTCTAAAAATTATAAGCAATTGTTGATCGAGCGAAGCTAGAATTTGTATATTATTTCTTAACACCAATGAACAATTCATCAAACACGGATTAATTAAACGTCATATGTCATTAATGTAACGTAACATGCGACGCAGAAAACACCTCTACCCCATCGCCATCTTTCATTCATTTCATTTTCATTTTACATGTAAAAATTAGTTTATTTACTTGACATTCGCAGAATTGTGCGAAATGCGCAGATAAGCCATAAATTAAAAAAGAAGAAGATGAATACAATTGCGTCTCTTTCTTCAAAGTTTCCATGTTCGAATTCTGGTAGAATTAAATGCTTTAGATACCGAAAAGCAACTAGTCACGGTTGTTTAATGTATAATTATTTGAAGCTTATTTAACAATTAACTTGTTTGTAGAGTCATCTTCAAGTATTATTTGTTTTATTAATACCTATTACGAAAAGGTTATTATGGGAAAGAGAGTACTTTTTGTGTCTATTAATTTTCTCAAAGTTTTACTAAAATAATTATATAAATCAAAACCTTATTGTGAGAACTCTTATCAATTACCATTTTTACTGTTGCTTTCAAATTGTCAATTCGAATTCGTTTTGAAAATTGCAAAAAAATAGCTTACAATTTGAATAGATATTATCATGAAATGTGGTAATGTTATTCGGTCTTAAAATAAATTGGTTCAGAAAAAAAGTAACAACGAAAACTAAATAAAACTAAAGTGTTACAACAACAGCTGAAGTGTTTACAATTTTGCTACGACTACGTGACAGAAGAAAAACTTGAGAACATCCAGTGCGTAGACAAGGACAATTAGAGAAAACAGAAATCAGAGTGTTGTTACTTACTTTGTTGATCGCCCTTGACACTGCCTTGAATCTTTCTATTACCACACTATAAGCGGCATTATTCACTGAGATTATAAACTTTTTTGTCACGCGATTTTAATTCGAGTATTACACGTGAGCACGAGTTATCCGTGTGGCGCGCGAGCAGGAGCGGCGCGCGCGATACTCTATGGTGTACTAGTGGCACAGCTAGAGCCGTGTCCCAACTGATGGGATGGGGTCGAGGCCGGCCAAACATTGTAAACCTACCTATTCTAACTAATGCCACGCTGGTGGTATGAACTGAACGAATAGATCGACGTCCAGTCTTCAGATATTTTCTTTTTGTGTTTATGTACAATTTCTATTAGATTTAGTGTCGTCTTTTATTTTTGTAAGAAGAAGCACTTACGAATTTTACACATTTTTGTGTTTGTGTCAAGATGGTGTGATCATTTAATTTTTTTGTCAACGAAAATATTCATGACTTATAGTGATAATTTAATTTTTTTGTCAACGAAATAATGTCCTGGAGTGATAATTTATTTTTTTGTCCACGAATATTCTTTTGTCAATGACTATTTTATTTGTCTATAAATTGATTTCTATAGACAGTACACCAATTGTTCAATTTAGATTGAATACCCTTATACAAAAAAAACTAAAATGTAGATAATAGAACAATGTGTACTTATATCTATAAAAAATATTTATAAAAAGGATGATCTCAAACTATTTTTGTACAAGTATTTAACGTAATAAGCGCCGTAAGCTATTATGTAAAGTAAGAAAATAAGATGCTGCGATATTTCGAGACTTGTCGCCGGATCGGTGGCGGAGTTGGTGACGCCAGCGATGCGTCACGCGGCGTGGCGGCCGGCGGCAGCGGGGCGGCGGCGGCAAGGCGCGGCAGCCCACGCGCCTGACGATCACCAACACAGTGCATACTTACACAGTACACAGGAGAATACAATATACCGGCACGGTGCAGTTTATGCGGTTACAAAATGAATTGATAATAGGGATGACGACTGGGTAAAAAAAATGCAATTCTATTTAGTCCGTCAGTCAGATAATAGACAAATATTAGATACGTATTTTTTTTTACTTCAATTTAACAAGAAATAGCTTAGATAACAGGCATTAAAGTTGAGGAGTGGGGGCTCGCTACGTCACAGTTTAGTAGAAAACGTACCATAACGTGACGTCATGCGAAATTTCAACTCAATGTAACGCCGTAATTTTATGATTACGAAAGAAATAAAAAAATACGTGATTAATATTTTTTAACACTCTACCTGACGGACAAACAAACAAAAATTAGTCGTCATCCCTATTGTTGCAACTAAGTAATTTTAATTTTGACGACTAGATGGCGTTATAGCTAATTATATCGCAATGGTAAAATATTTCTGTCATTTTATTACTTTTCTGTTTTGTTTTTGGAGCTGTTGGCAGTTATTAGCTTTTAGAATGATTATAAACTATTACTTAAATTTTTCTGGGTTTATTAGTGACATCCCAGATGTATGCTAATTTGATGATTAGCTGTTTACATTGACAGATAGTTTCTTTCGTACTTACTTAACGCAACATCATTTTTATGGATTTCGGTATCATTAAACGAACTGGCAACAAATTAAATTAATCATTATTACTTACTCTGGCTCAGTAACTTTACGTACTCGTACTCAGTTTCCGAGTACAAGAAGTACCAAACAAGTACTGTACTCTTGCCAATGCCGTGAATTCCTTTTTTCACGAAGACACACTTTTCTTTGACAACTGACTTCTAATTGTATTTTATTTGCATGGATAAAAATATTTATAATAATAAATATTTTGAAACAAGTAGTCTTACGTTCTAAATGCTATCAAAATTATATAAATAAAAATAAGGGTGCAGACTATTTAAATTTTTCATGGATATGTGAAATTTGAATGAACTTATTGTACTGACACATAACAATGGCATTACTGTGGGTATTACCAATAAAATAAACAAGCAATAACTAATACCACCGACAACGAAATATAACGTATTAGACGTTGCCTCCCGGACTCGGTATAGGCTGTCGTAGTTTAAGTTAATGAAACTTCTTGTTTACACTAGTTTTGACACAACTAGTGAATTTGCTTTTAATAATCCATATACTTTTTTGTTTAAATAAACATTGTACTATACAAGCACATTAGGTTACCACAAAATGTCAGATTTCCTCAAGAGATATTGAACTCAACCCTCAATGTAGTAAGGTTTGAAATTGAGTGGGGAAATTAGACAGTTTTGTATAACACGATGTGCATTTAACTATACAGTCTCCCTGCGCCAAATGCTAAATTTAAAAATCATCATCATTTACGCCAGTTAAGAGACAGACAGTAAAAAAAAAACAATTTCGGAAATCAATTATTTAAGTGTGACACGTAACTGTGTATAGATTTTACTGGTACATTTTTTATATCTTTATAAAATATAAAATAATGGTTGTTGTAAGCTAAAAGTTTTTCTATACACGCAACTTACAAAAAATAAATCGCTCCGTCCTCGACAAGTAAATCACCGTGTTAAAAAATAAAACTACAATGAAGGTAACGTAATCACCTATGGCCTAGGAAGGGATTGCCAACCTTTACGTATCTAGATGCTATTAGTAAAATGTTTAATGAAGTTGTACACGTGCCATTGAATATTTTTAACTTTGTGATTATTGGGAAAATAAATACTATCAAATTAAAACTCTTTATTTACTACAAACTATCACTCACATTCGGTCATCATAAATACCTATTTCACATTAAGTGGCTAGAATTTTATGATTAGTGATATGCACGAAATATTATATCGCGTACCATTGGTTTGCCATCTCTGGCTTATGCAATACTTTGTAGAAAAGTACAAAAGTATTGGAAATCGTTATCACATTTTTACGGGTAAAACAACAGGCGTTATATGTTTTATGATATATAATTCAAGGAATTCATGACCAAATTATTCGATTTCTTTTTAAATACTATGTGTCATACAAATGAATATAACAATTATGCTAATTAGCCTTTTAGGCTTAGCGTGTGCTATAAATTTAGATATTAGCGATATTTTCAACGAGAGATAAGAACCTAAATATAAAAGAAAAGGCTGCACAGATCCCGACCTGAGAGTACGAATCACCCGGTCACATAGATCACTGTTTTTAATTATATATTACACCTTTTATCAATAACATTTCATCAACGCTAATTTGTGGTAATAAATTTCACATTATCATAATTAGCCCTTTGACATCCTAACCGCAGGAGCTCAGGCCTTCCTTATGAATGGTTAAGGGGTTAACCTCCACGCTGGCTCAAAATTTGGCACGAATTGGGCGCAAATCCACATTGGGTCACCGTGGAGGATCATGGGTCATCTTCCTTAATCATCCACATATAGTAGGTTGGTGGCATAGTGAATAAGCGCCGTGGTCCGCGATCGTTGTTGGGCTTTAGAAGCTTTCGCAAGAGTTGGGCACAGGATGGGTGATCAAAAAAAATATAATCTCAAGCTACTCCGTGCTAAGGCACATTCAGCCGTCGGGACTGGCTGCATTTGCAGTCGTTAAAACCCTCCAATCCACAAATTTCACATACTATCTCGCATTGTCCACTATGTTCATATTATCGTAAAATCGTACACAGCCATTGACGTAATTATTTTCCTTCGGCACGCGTTTGACACACTTCGCTCTATGTATATTGTGGACTATTGGTGTGAAGCGCTTCTTAAATTACGTAGAAGGTCGCTCTCGATGTTCTGCTAATGTAGAATTAAATGTAATTTGACATTCACTGCGATTACTTTTTATAAAAAAGTTGCTGTTTAACCGTAACTTTCGAATTATTTTCAAACAAATAATCAAATCATCCCTCTTTATATAGAAAATAAAACACACTTGAAAGTGATTTTTTGTATATATAGGAGCACATTAAGTTATTTCTGTATACCAAAATCTTACAACCAATTTTTAACTTAACATTCAACTTATTAAAACTTAAAATTAATCGCAAAAATTTGGCACCACATATGCCTGACATGCTGTCAATAGCTCTCAAGGTCGACATAAAAACTTAGATTTATTAAATCTTAGTATAAAACATATTTATTCCAAACATACTTCACAAATTGCAAAAAAGGTAGGAAGACGGTGACTGCTGTATATTTTTCCATCACTGCACCATCACAAACCCATCACTGCAGTATATTTTTATGACTAAAATTTTTAAGTTTCTCAACTACCTGCTCAACATGGCAGATAAATAAAAATTATTTATTTTATTTATTTATTTAATTTTTGGTGAAGTTTATTAACTTCAACGTTTCCCTTGGAAAATGTATTCTAACCCCCTAAATGTTAAGAATGAACATTAAGTAAGATAGTGAATCATAGCAAGTTGCGACTTTGTTTTAACGAGCACATAGACTTATCAACACAAATGTTCTAAAATTTATGTGTCGGATATCAATATAGTTATGGGCATTGAATTGTTCGTTTCCGAATCAAGGGACATATAGTACGACTTGAATAAAATATGTATAATCTAATAATATATTTGTAATTTTATATGTCAAGCATTACGCCATCTCTGTAAATGAACAAAGACCTATATCAAACGCTTTAATATAAGTAAAATGTGGTGTTTCTCTCTTACGGACTTCGTTATTGTATTAATGAAAATAAAATAAAACGGCCTTTTACACTTCAATTCGTGTTTCAGAATTCAATATATTACAGAATTTCGAGAACTAATCCGGGCGAAACTAAACTCGATGCACCAATTATTTGCATTCGTGTCCCAAAAACTATTATAATAACAATAAATTTATTTCATTGTGCATACCTACAGAAAAAGTGGGTGTGGGAGTATATATGATCTTTAATGTCGACGGTACTATTCCAAATTGTGGAAGTACCGGACGAGAGCAGTAAACAAATTATAGTCAAAGAGCAAATGTCTAGAAACGTCGCGACGGTAGGAGCATGCGTACTACGATCCCCGAACAGGGGGCCTACTAGTAACTAAAATCATGTAACAAAATTAATGTTGCATTTTTTATTCTATTATGAAGTCAATCGCTATTAGCTATCAATGATTCATCATCATTATCATCATCATCGTCAGCCCTTTATTTCGTCCCCACAGTAGGGTCTCAGGCCTTCCT